GCCCCCGCCCCCCCACTGCTGCTGCAGGTCAGTCCAGAGGTGCTGCTTGGGTTCCAGGCAGATGCAGATGCAGCAGCCCTGGCCCCGGCCAGCATCAGCTCAGGGAAGGTTCTACTGCATGGGGGTCCCACATATCCACAGGACTCAAGGGCGGGGCTGGGGTGGGCATGCATAGCCTGAGCCCCATCTTGCTCCCTCCAAAGCCTCCCTACCTGGGGCCAGCCATCTTGGAGCAGCCCCACACTGTGGTTGGCCTGCCATGCAGGGGAGGCCCAGGGGAACCCCTCCATCCTCCAGAGTCCAACTTCCTTCCCTCAGTCCCACTCCCTACCCAGCTGCCTGCCTGGCCCCCCGGCCTCAGCCACCAGACCAGGCCCGTCCCACTCCTCTGGGGCCCTGTGCACACAGAGCCACCCTCTCCTGTTCCACCAGCCCCAAAGCACAACCAGATGCCCTCCCCTGCTGCCTCCCTGGTCCCTGCCCATGGCAGCCCTCCCGCCTTCTTGGGCCTTCTCTCTCTCACTAGCTCGCACACAGCACCAAGTCAGTAACAGCTAACTGGCCTAGGGAGTTAGGTGGGGACTGCAGAGGGAGGGGGCAGAACAGGAGAAGCATCAAGAAAATCAGGCCCTAGCTCAGGGTGACAGGTGCTGCCAACCCTTGCCACTAGAGGGCTCCAGGCTTCACAGCAGGGTCCGCACAGGATGGCCCTTCTCCTGGTGATCCATCCCTAAGAACAAATGGCTGGGCCCGAGCCCTGCGAAGGCAAAGGGGAAGGCAGACACTGCAGCCACAAGCACAGGCAGGTGTCGGCCAGCTGAGTGGGGCAGGACAACATGCAATTCCAGGCAGGGCAGCCACCTCCACACACTGCATGGATGGAGACGTGGAGAAAGGCAGCTGCTGCCAGTGGTACAGGCCAACTCTGAGGGGCCCCAGGGCCAGTCCCTTCTTGCTGGTCCTTGCAGGGCCCTGTGTTTGGGGCGTCTGAGGGTGTGGGTGGCCATCCCTCCCCTGGTCCCATCTCCTTGGAGCTCTGAGCCTACAGTGCCTGAGACGGGGCTACGGGCCTAGAGGACCCTCCCTCCTAGCCCTCAGTCTGGTCTTCCCTAAGCCAGGCATTTGAGCTGCTGCGCTGGAGGCCAGGGTCCTGCTGGGAGCACACAGGAGCAGAGCATGCAGCCAGCAGAGGTTACCCAGAAGCCCGGCCCAGCCAGCAGAGGTTACCCAGAAGCCCGGGAAAATGATCAGATGAACAACCAGACGAGACAACGTACCAGGCATGCAAGCTAGACCCAGGAGTCAACAGGCTGAGGCTTAGCGTCCCCCACGGCGTCCACCAGCCTGACCGCAGGCCTGCTGGGCCCGGGAGGAGGGGCTTTCCTGCCGGGGTCAGGCTGCAGCACATGGGTGGGTGGGTGGGCAGGAGGGTGTTAGAGGCAGAACACAGCAGGTTAGTCAGAGCTGACGGGTGGGGCTCGGCTGGTCAGTGGGGCCGGGCCAGGGTGTTGTGAGACTGGGCCTGCCAAGGCAGCACGGGGGAGTGCTGAGGGTGAAAGAAGCTGAGCAGGTGTGGCTCACATGGGTTCAGGGTGGCACGTGGACACACGATGCCTGTGTGCAAAGCCAAGAGACTGGCAGAGAGCAGGTGGCAGGTGCTGCCCTCGCCCACGCACGCACGCACATGCAGAGAAAGGAGCCAATCTGCTTGCTCACAGACTCTCCTGCCCTGTGCAGGGTGTGGCCGGGTGCCTCTCTGTCCCATGCCCCTCACTCCCAGTGGGCATGAGCTTCAAACCCATCAGCACCCAAAGAAAGGGGCCTGTTTCCTGGGATTGGTCCCTCAGCCCAGTTGTACCCCAGGGCCTGGACCAAACTCAGCACTACCTGGGCCACTCCCCAGGCAACCCTAGAACATGAAGCCTTCCAGGGCACCTGCCCACAGCCACTTACTTTCAACGGTTCCTTCTCAGAGGCCTCCCCTGTAGTGCCACTGCCCATAGCCTTCCGCTCCCTCCGGTCCACAGTGGAGTAGCCATCTGTGGGTGGGGTAGGGTGGGTGGCATGAGGGGAACTCTGAGGGAGAAACCGTACGAACAGTAGACCTCCATCTCAGCCCACACACAGGGGACCCATGGCACAGCAGGCTTCTGGACAGGGCCCTCACCTGCCCCATCCTGGAGGCCTGTGTGAGAGCAGCTCTCTCAACAGCTCCCACCTTGGCACCCCCCATTGCAGTTCGGAATCCTCCAGCCTCCCCTCAGCTGGCAGGTCAGAGGCCTTGGCTGGGCACTTGCCCCTCCTTGGCTGCCCTGCCCCTCACTGCCGCGGTACCCCTAAACCAAGTCTTTTTTCTAACCAGCACCTCCTTGGAAGGCCTTCCTAGCACCAATGACGCTTACCCCATAAAAACCAGCATCCCTATCTCAGGCCTCCACCCTCCTCCTCGCATAGGAAACAAGCCAAGCTGCACCTGCACTCACCTGGGCCGAGTGTGTCCATGGGGATTACATCCTGGCTGCCTGGCTTCTCGGTGTCTACGAGTCATGAGCAGGTGGCTGGTTGCACGAAGTGGCCAGAGGGGACCAGGGCAGAGAAGCCCACAGCAGGTGGGCTCTACCACTAACATTTTTATATGCCTCTGCCTAGCCTCTGCCCGCTGGCAGATCCCTTCCCCAGCTTGGCACCAATGCAAGTGCCATGGAAAGGGAGTACCCTAGAGACCCAGAGCAAGGAAAGGGAACCCCAATCATGAGGCCACCTTAGTGGGAGAAGGCCTCTCTTCCTCCTCCACCCCTCGCCCACCTGTCACCATCAGCACAGGTGGGGAGCCACTCTTGAGCCTAAAGGATGGGCTCCCAGGCCCCCAACTCTCTACCAGCTGGTACTCACCCAGGCTCTTGTCCACCAGTGGCAGCATGCTGTCATCGAAGCCCCCAGGACTTGGCGCTCCCTTGGGCCCCTTGGTGGCAGCAGCAGCAGCAGCAGCAGACTGTGGAGACAGCAAACACAGACACTGGGTAGGATCGGGGCACTGTCAACTGGGGACCAGAGCTTGGAAGTGAGGGGGGGAAGGGCCAGGGTAGGCTGTACCTGGAAGCGTGCCTTGGTCCAGCCGTCCTTCTGCAGGGCACCGCGCAGCTCCTTGTAGCTCCACACTGTCTGCAGCACATGTGAGGCTGCCTTCGCCTCGCGCACTGACTGGCTGCGGCAGGGCCCAGGGTGGGGTCATGGACAGCCCTGCCTCTGCCTCCCCCACCCACCGAAGCCTGCCCTCCCTCCCCACCCACCTGGAGGCACTGAGGGCCACAAGTGCAGGCACACCGCGGGCCTGGAGGAGTGAGCGTGCATTGTCCAGGCTGTCGGACACAATCTCGTGGATGGTGTTGAGCACGGCAACCACCGTGTCCTCCTCCAGGTGGGCTCCAGGACGTGGTGGAGCCTGCGCATTGCGCACATTCCTCACCAGCTCTGCCATGGCATAGCTCCCTGAGGGGCAGGGTTGAGTGTTAGGACACAATTCTGCCCACCCTTGCAGGAAAGGGCAAGGTTCAGGCAAGGGGCACCACCAGAAGAGCCCCAGGATGCCACCATGACCCCTGTGAGCAGGGGGCTGAACCTTGGGGACCAGGCCTGCTGGATGGGACCCGAGCAACAGGGGCAGGGCCCGGAGCCCTAAACCACCAATCCCCTAAGCCCCGACAGCAGGACCCTAGAGCCATCTGCCCGGTTCTGCTCCCTGGCATAGACCCGCCAGCATCCTCACCAATGAGGTCCTTGTTGCGCCGATCCAACGAAAGGTTGCGTAGGGCGATGGCAACAGCACGCACCACCTTGTCGGTCTCCGACTGCAGCAGCTCCACAAGCACTGGCAGCCCGCGCTCCTTGCGCACTGTGGCGCGGATGTACGTGGCCCACTGCGGCAATGGGGGCGAGAGGGGGTTACTCAGTGTGGAGTCACACTGCACATGCTGGGCACTCTCCTATCTCTGGACCTTGACTGTTCCCTCCAGCTGGTCCCCTGCCTGACAAAGCCTTGCCCCAACAGCTCATTCATCTAGAGACTTCCCCACCTTCCAGAGCGCACTGCTTGCAGCCTGTGAATCTCCAACCTCCCAGACCTTGGGGAGGCGCTGTATCCCATCCTCCAGTGGGGACTAGCCTGGACAGGGGCAGCACCAATGGGGCGCCTGGAATTGCCTGTCTATCCCAGGTCTTACCCTCCCTGCAGACCTGGCCCCTCACCATCCAATTGCCAGCACTGAGGTTCTGCAGGGCGCCAGCAGCAGCCTCCAGAGTGTTGAAGTTCCGGCTTTCCGTGAGGAGGGAAAGGTAGAGACGTACCACCTCGGGCTGGTACAGCAGCTCAAAGCCTGGGTACAGGGCAACCACCACTCACAGTCACTCAGAACCTCTTCCCTCACCCATCACACCCCCCTCCCAACCTTGCCCCCTGTCAGTGCTCCCAGGGACAGGGATGGGTGTGGAACAGTCAGGGAATGTTTAGTATCAATGTATCCACCCCTTATGGCTACCCAAAGGGAAAAGCATTCCCATTTCACAGAGCGGCAAACTGAAGCTCAGTCAGGACGCAGTGGGTTTGGGTAAGGCTGTTCCTTCCTTGACACTACTGCCAAAGAAATGGAACTGGACCTGTCTGACAACAGGAGCATCCAGGCCTAGGCTGGAGAGGAAGGCGGCAACCAGGGCTGCTCCCCTAGCAACAGGACCCACCTTCCCAGGCAACCACTCCAGGTTCCCCAGAAATTGAGGCCCCAGCCTGGGAGCAGGACTGTCCCAGGATGGTGCCCTGTGTAGTGTTCCAGAGAGGAGAGGCCAAGGTAGTCTTCCAAGCCTACCTGTCCCCACACTGGAGCTTCTGCCTGGCTGGAGACATTACTCCCTCTCCCCGTCCTCTCAACCCACATTTCGTCACCTCTCCCCTGTCCTCGTGACCCATGCTTCCTCCACTCTGGCCACACATACTCCCAGCACAATCAGGGCGCTCACACAGACTGGTTGCTCTGCCTGTAATGCTTGCCACAGACGCCCACAACTGGGCCCTTCTACCCCACCTGGGGACATCTGGGCTCTTCTACTCACAGGACTGGCCAGGCCCCACCAGGTCTGACCTTACCCATGCAGACCGGTTCCCAGTACACAGCACAGTATCAGTGCACTGTAGGAACCCAACAGACACAGGAGACAGAAAGAATGAACCGCCCTGCCCCTGCCTGAGTTGGGCATTCTCAGGCCAGCCTCTCAGGCCCAACTTCTCTACCTGGATCTAACCATGCCCTCCTGGCTCCCAGCCCCTTTGGAGTGAGTCCAAGCTCTGTGGCCAACACTGGTGGCCCTACTTTAACTGGGGGCTTCCCTCCAACCCCACCCACCTCTCACCTGCTGTGCAACTAAGCAAGTGCCTGGCCTCTCTGTTCCTCCATCTCCTGCCAGAAATGACCTGTGGCTCTTGATTCTGAACAGCAGGTGCCCAGGGACTACACCATCCTCTGGCGAATCGCACACCTATGGACCTCATTTCCCCCACGTGATGCCCAAGGCCCTTCAGGCCTGCTTGATGGTACAAAGTTTCCTTACCTGGATGGCCCTGGGTCCAGGCTCCCCGGCCAGCACTGGCTCTGCCTCAGCCCACTCACCTTTGGCCGCCTCGGTTCGCTTGGGCAGGTCCAGCGTGTCAAAGTTCCGGTCCATCTCACTGTCTTTCTTCCCTGGAACAGAAGGGTGGCCAGAGGTGAGGTCGACCCGGGGGAGGGCAGGATTGTGTCAGGAGAGTTGGGCACAGACGTCTCCTGCTCGGACCCCAAAGAGCACCCCCAGCACTGTTTTCAGAGTTCAGGCAGGCAGGTCGACCCAGGGAGAATGGTGGTGGCAGTGGGGCCTGGGAACATCTGAACCCTGCCCCAAGTATCTAGGACTCATCTCCTGTCAGGTGCTGAGAGCTGTACCACAGACTGTGGCTCCCTTGTGGCTGCCAGGTGTGTGAACTGAGGGGACCTGGAGCCCAGGCTGGGTGGCAGACAGCAACAAGTAGAGAAACTGAAGGCTGACAGGGATCGGAGTTGCCTGGGTCACACAGTAATGCAGGGCTGGTGCTCAGTCCCACCCAAGGGGAAAAGTCCCCCGGGTCTGGGGCCAGGACACTGTGCCAGGCTCTACTGGCCAGGAGAAACCCTGTACCCAGGCCGACCCCCACAGCAGCCCCCTGACACTTCAGCAGCCCTGGCTTGCACATTTCCACAAGAGTGAGCTCACTGCCTCCCAGCCACCCTCTCCATCTCAGATGAGGGCACTTCTCCCCCTTTGGAAAGCAGCAGAGCTGAGCTCAGAGGATCTGCAGCCCCCACCCACCCTTCTTCACATGTCCTTTGTGCCGATGCTGTCCAAACTACACACTGCCCCATACCAGCAGAGGAGCAGATTCTGCTCCCTGGTGCCCCTGGGGACAAACATACCTGGGCCCTGCCAACTTTGGGCTCTGCCCCAGCTCCAGCCCTGCCTATGTAACAGAGCCTGAGGCTACAGGGGCAGCCTCTCAGCCTCTGCACCAGTCCAGGGCTCATATTCCTGCCCTTGTCATGTCCATGCAATTGCCATGGAGACAGCTGCCCCAGCCATGGGACTGGGGGTGGGGCAGGGCCCTGAAGGCTGGAATGCTTCCCAGGAGCCCACCAGGCCTCGGCACCCCTGCAGTTGTCAAGGAAATGAATGTCTGAGCAATGGGGCCAGGTGCCCCCCCTGATGCCCACTGCACCCACCAAGCCTGGACAGCAGGACGAACAAGGACTCACCTTGATGGAACCACTCCTCTGGGCGGCCGGAGGAAGCACAGGAGAGAGGAGACGAGCCTGAGCAGTGGCACCCCCCAACACCCTCCCAGGAGGCCTTGACTTCCCCATGGCACATCCTCGGCAAGTGGGATGTGGAACGTTATCCTGATTACTGTGGGGGGCTCAATGCCCACCAGTGGGGCAGGGACGACAAAGCCAGGGGTCAGTGGGGCAGGTAAAAGCAGTGCACAGCTTTCACTGCAGCTCCTGGGGGAAGATCTCTGTGAGAGCCACTGAGTAAGGTGTGAGGCTGGGGCCTGCCCAGGCACGGTGGGTGCTGCCCTGTAGGGCTGGCCAGGAGCCGCAGGTGCTCTGTGAATGCCAGGAAGCAGCACTATCTGTGGCACTTCCCAAACTTGCAAGCCTGCAGGACCCTTCCCCAGAGTTGAGGAACTGGGTGTGGGCACTGGTGGTTTCCCTCCTATCCTTCCCAGGGGGCCCCACAGTGCAGATGGGGGTAGTGTGGGACTGGGTCCCACACCCTGGCCTGGCAGTTGTGTGACCCAGGACAGTACACACTCCTGGGCTCCCTGCTTCCCTGCCTGCCCACTGGGGGCTGACCAGGTGTCCTCCAACCTCCACAACTGCCTGTCGTGGGTATAGAGGGCCTTCGGCCTGCGCAGGGGTCTAGAGAGATACCCGTCTCACCCACCCACCTTTGGCCTTCTTGCCACCGAAGCAGCTAGCGTCATCCCGCCTCCGGCGCTGGGAGGCTGCAGCACTGCCTGGGGGCCCGAGCTCAGTCTCCTGGTACCTGTCGGCCCCAGGCACCTCCTTATGCACGTGGTAGGACAGGTTCCGCATGATGCACACGCAGTTCTCCACTGACTGCAGGGAAAGGTGAGCTGGTGGGGCAGGGCCATGGGGCACAGGGGCTGCTAACCATCCCAGGCTCCTGTGCACAAAGCTGGCCCTCGGGTAAGACTGGCCACAGCTGGTATGCACCAAGGGCACCAGGAGCATAGACATGGGGAGGCCTGAGCTAAGGAGTCCACGTGGACAAGAAGCACCAGGGAGGGGCTGCAGGAGGAAGCCCCTACCTTGTGGAGCACCTGCCGCATGCAGCAGGAGGTCCCTTCACAGGGTGGCTGCTACGAGAGGGCCAGGTCCACAGTGCCACCCTAGGCCAGCACACCCACCCTGGACAGTTCAGGCCCCCTGCACCCCATTCCTGCACCATCTGCCTCTCCAACCGTTAGTGGGAGACTGAGACTAAGACTGCTCCAGCCCACCCTGCCCACCTTGTTGTCTGTGTCCTTCCTGCCCACAGCCGACTGCAAGGCATGCAGGAGCGCATCCACCAGCCCTTCACACTCCCGGAGTCGCCGCCGGGCCTCCGCACCATCCGAGCTCACATTCCTGGGTGGCCAAGAGCAGGCCCAGTGACCTCCAGTCCCCAGGGAAATCCCCTATCCCCAACCCTGGCCTCAGGGACTTGTCTTCATCTGCAAAATGAGCCCTGCTGCTGCCTCTTTGGGCTACTGGGACAGGACACCATGGCCTAGAGCACAGTGAGGGTGGACAGGGGGGCACTCCAGGCACCTGTGTGGGGTTGGAGGGGGCTTCCCTGACTCCCGGCTGAATTAGAAAGGGACAAAGATGGCCCAAAGAAGCCTGAATCCATGTACAGGCAATTCTGGGGCTCCCTCTCTCACCCCGGGGCCCCACCTTGCTGAGGTCAGGACTCCACAGGGCCACATCCTGATAGACAGGAAAGACCGTGGGGACCCAGGACTCTGGGGACTCTGCAGGGCCTCCCAGGGATGGGATGGGGAAGACAGGGGTCACGTGGAGGTAGAATGAGCCTCCGAGGCAGACAGACATGAGGGCCCTGGCTCTCCCTCCCTGGCTGTCACAGTGATGAAAGGCTGGATCGAAGCTGGGCAGGGCAGGAGCGGTGGGACCACAGGAGACGTGGGAGACCGTGTCCAGAGTGTGTGCTTAGGGGCGAGTACAGCCCCATCAGGCCCCGTTTCATCCACAGGATTTGTGATGTGGCTCTGAAGCTCCTAAGATTTGGGCAGCTCGCTGTCTTCCATGCTATCTGGGACCATGAGGACGTGGCTGCCCCCAGGGTGGTGCCACCTGTGTGCAGGCTGTGGCGCCCGCTCCTGACTCCTTGACTGGGCACCGGGAGTCCTGCGGGAACAGCCCCGGGCACGAGTGCCCGAGCCCCGCCCCTGCCCACACCTCAAGCAGCCCGACGTGTTCTTGAAGACAGTCGTCCACTCAGCATCCCGTGGCTTGGAGTCCTCATTGGGCTCGCGCTCCCAGCCCGAGTGGGGCACGATGACCTCATGGGTCAGTGTCTGCAGGCCGTGGTCAATGATGACCATCTTCAGGGGCTCGTAGGATGACAGGTTCCAGAGTGTGCCTGCGGGGCACCGTTGACCAACCCGTGCTGACCACGGACACCGCCTCCTAACCTCCCCAAGTGACCACACTCAGAACCTGCCCCACCCCCCTCATGCCCCAGCTCGCCCAGGTAGATAGGAAATGACAAGAGCCATGAGGGGTTCTGGGGGCCCGCCTCAGCCTGGGCAAGACATGCGGGCAGCATCCAGCTGTGGTTTCAGATGGGAAGGAGCCCCAGAGGGGGTGGGGTGCAGAGGAGGGGCAGGGCAGGTGCCATCTCTTCCCACCCATTCCTTGCTACAGCCACACAGAAAGATGGTCATGTGAATCCACCTGTCCCTCAGGTCCCACAAGGCACAAGCCCCCCCCACTGCACTGTCGGTGAGGGGGAACAAGGGAGGCAGGTCCCAGGGGAGTTGCTGTGGAGACATAGGGGCAGGCAGAAAAGGGGCCTCCCTGAGGGGATCCCCCCTATGGTAGAGTTTGGGGACCTTTCACAGCACCTGTACCTGATGCCTGCCTCCCAGGGCAAACTGTCCCAGTAGCTGGGACTCCTGTCTACAGGGTGCTTTCCCTGGATGTGAGACCCCAGGAGGTCTCACCCTGCCACGTCTAGCCTCGCCCTCTTCCCTTCCTGGGGATATGCACAGCCAGGTCCCACTCACCAGTGACAAGCTCGCGGACCTCATTGTCCCGAGCAGCCCGCAGCAGGCGCACCAAGGCAGGCACACCACCGCAGTCCCGGATGGCAGCCTTGTTGTCAGTGTCACGGCCATAGGAGAGGTTGCGCAGTGCCCCACAGGCTCGGCGCCGCACTTCGGCCCGAGGGTGGTCAAGCAGTGCCACCAGCAGCGGCAGCCCCCGCAGCTGCCGCACGCGCCGCTTGACACCCTCGTTCTCAAAGCACAGATGCTGCAGGTAGGCAGCTGCATTGGCCTTCACAGGGTCCACAGGGTGCCGCAGCATAGCCAGTACCTCGGGCAGCTCAGGGTCCCGCCAGCGCGGCTCCTTGCGGGCACTGTCCACCGACGGTGAGCGCCGCACCAGCCGGTCCAGGCTGCCCAGGCTGCCTCGTTCAGGCTGGGCCAAGGGTGCCGTTGCTGCTGGGAACAGGGGCCGCTCGTCCATCAGCTCGCCACCATTATCCGCCACATCCTCGTAGGCCCTGCGCAGGTGAGCAGGGCGTGTGAATATCTTCCCAGCAGCTGCCAGCCCTTCTCTCTGAGCTGCCCTGTCACCTTCTCCAGGGGACTGTAAACTCACCAAGCAGGGCTGGGCAGACAGCATCTGTATCTTGGCCCCAAGCTTGGAGCAGGCACCAAGAATCCCACCCCAGCCCAGCAAGAACCGACTCAGAGCCAATGACAACCAAATCCCAGCCAACGGCCACCAGGGCTTGCATCCCTCCCAGGACAGGGAGCTTACTCACTCCTGTCACCAACCGCTATTACCCAATCCTGAGCTCAGCGTATTTCTATGCAACATCTGTGCATGACCGAGGAGGGGGTTCCACCTCCCTCCCACAAACCCATCTTCCCATGAAACCCATCTCTGGCTGGTGCCAGAATATAGTGGGAATGGGTGTCCCTCCCTGCACATGGCCATCATGGTAGGAACACTGAAGGGACATTCAGGCCACCAGCCCCTTAGGGCAGGAGATGTCCTTGACTCTCAGTAGCCCTGTGGGTTATCACCATCAAACCCACTTCCCCGGGGAGGGACTTAGGATAGGATGGGTCAGGTGACTTGCCCAGGATCACATAGCAAATCCAGACCTGGACTGTGGTCATGTTCCCATTCTGAAGGTACAGAAACAGAAGGCAGAGGGGACAGAACCAGGGGCTATGACAGGAAGGGCCGGGGGCCCTGAGTTGCAGTTATCACTGGGCCTGGGAGAAACTGAGACCCAGGGAGCATCTGGGGCCTGAAGCTCAGAGTAACGCCCTGAGCCTCTTGTCCTTGGGTCTTCACAGCTATCTGCTTGGAACAAAGGCAGCAGGTGTTAGACACTGTCACCAGCTTCTCCTGTGCCCTAGCCCTGCAGGGAAGGTGCTGAGCCTAAATTCTACCATCCCAGTGTGCCCTTGCTGCTGTCCTTGAGAAGAGCTGAGGCCAATTCAAAATGAAGTGTGTGTGACTGACTCAGCTTCTGCAGCCTGACTGCCAGCAGGGTTCTCCGACTGGGGAGTGGAAGGTGGACTTCCCGGAGGAGGCAGGTGCAGAGGGCTGGGTGCTCACCTGGCACGAAGGCCACGCCCACACTCAGGCCTCCTCCTTGTGGCCGTGCCATAGTCGGTCTCCAATTCAGGGCCACCCTCGTCATCAGCGGCCAGGCTGCGTGTGTCATCCTCCAAGCCATACGGCTCTGCCTGGAAGCGCTCAGGCAGGGAGCGGCCACCCGGCGGCCCAGATTCGGGACCTCCAGGGAAGGCCTCACGGCGGCCAGGCAGCGTGAAGCAGCCTTCGCCAGGGCCTGGGCCAAGGGGGCCAGTGCGCAGGGGTCGCACACCCAGCCCTCGGGACAGGCTGCCGTAGCTGGGCCCATCACGGGGCTCAGGGCCGTCGGGAAAGCCACCCCCACTGCTGAGGTAGGCTCGGGAGAGTGTGGCCGCAGGGCCACCACCACGTAGCAGGAAATGCCGGTCCAGGGGGCCGTCGGTGAAAGGGCCTAGTGGAGGGCCACCATCCAGCAGAGGGAGTCCATCTGGGCCCACAGGCACCTGGCGTAACGTCCTCGTGGTCACTGTCTTGACTGTCTTGGTGACCTAGTGGACAGGCGGGTGGCAGGTAGGCTAGGCAGCACAAGAGGCCTGAAAACTGCCCTGGTGGGGCCAGGATGGCTTTAATTTGCTACTTGAACAGTGGGCAGCCCCAGGTGGCCAGCTCGTGTATCTACTCGGCAGAGGGGACAGCTGCTGCTGCCCAGCTTGCTCGCCCAGCACCTGGGCCCAGCCGTACCTTAGTCTCCGTGCGCCGTGTTGTGCCATCTTCAGACGTGACGATGGACACGTGGGAGGTGGGTGTGCCAGGGTCCTCCTCCACTGTCACTGTCTCCTCCAGCACCTCGGGCGCCTCTGGCATTGTGGCCAGTGAGGCCTGGCTGCCTGGGCTCTGCTCCTGGGGTGAAGGGGGTTGGTGTCAGTGGGCAGGACCATCTGCTCACATGTGCCTGGAGCGCAGGTGTCTACACACGGCAGACTCCCTCAGCTCATGCAGACCAGGAGGCCAGGGGTGTGTTCCTCACAGCCCCTGGAGCCCCCTGACCCAGGGCCTGCTTCCGCCCAAGCTGGCAAGGACAGCAGCGTGTTCTTGCCCTCTTCACATCAAGGGCTGACCCTGCCTTGTTGCTCACCGCATGGGGGACCCTAGAGGCCAGCCCCAAATTGCAGCGCCTCCTTGCGCTGTGTCAGTGGGTAAGGCCATGAACCGCGGGGACTCATTTTTGGGTGGCCCTTCCCGAGGTGCTAGGCCTAGCTGCCACAGGCTTCCTCCAGGCCCCAGGAGATGCCAGGCGGGACCTGCAAGAGGTCCTCCTGACGTCACCCATCATCCCTGGCCGAGCCTACATGGTGTCTTGGGGCCCCCTCCCTGCTGCACCTCTCAAACCTTGAGTGCAGAAGCCTCAGGGTAGCAGTTTCAACACTGCTCACTGACTCTTGTGGCCACACCCAGGCTACCACCACCAAAACTAGCCAGACACCCTCACATGACAGAAATACCCAGTTCCCAGAATGCCCTATGCACCAAGGGCACCAAAATATCCTTGCTCCTTCCAGCCTGGACACTCTTGGGGTGTCGAGTAGGCATGGCCTGGCTCTACCATGGGCCAGTGGCCGGTGGCCCTCACTGACTAAGACCCTAGGCATCATATCAGAGAGATGGTGGATTTGAGCCTGTGACCACAGTTGCCATCATCCTGCAGGGGGTGATGACAGCAAAATTGCACACAACACAGCTCTGGACTCACGCCCACATGCATACTGGCCGGACTTGCCAGTGGGGAAACTGAGGTTTGAAGAGAACAGGCTAGTTCACATCAGAGCCAGGCCAGATTGCTGCTGTGCTGAGTGCCATGGGGACCTGAGACCTACAGCCTACAGCCTATCCTTGGTCTCTGACCACACAGATCCCCAGCCCTAGGGCAGCACAGTGCCAACATCCTGAGATCGGCATCCGGCCAGGACAGGCAGAGGCTGAAACCCAAGCCGTGGTGGGCGGGAGAGGGGGGAGCACATTCCAGGCAGCCAGGGTGGGGTCAGCAGGAGGACAGGTCCTGATCCGTTGCCCAGGCCCCTGGGCCTTACAGGATGGGTCCCCTGTCTGGGCCCCCTGTGGCCTGCACACACACTGAGCTGAGTCCAGAAGGGCCAGCAGCTCAAACTGCATCTTCCTGGCTCCAGAGCCATACTCTGCCCACCCCTGGGCACGGGAGGTGTGCCTGGGGCTGCCCTCAGAAGGTAAGCCTCCCCAGGTTACGGTGCTATCCTGGAGTCATGCTTGACCCCCTAACACACACAATGCAGGGATCCAGGGAGGGGCCTGCACAACACGCTAGGACAGGGGCATCTCTCAGGCTCTGGTGACACTGACCACACAGATCACACATCCCCCTCCCCCAGGGGCAGGTCTCAGAGAACAAAATATACATTATAGGTGGGGAAACTGAGGCCTGGCAGAAGACAGAGGATTTACTCAGAGCTCCACAGCTGCTCGTGGGGGGACCTCAGGCACCCACGAGGAAGGCAATCTGGCAAGGAAGCTTCTGGGTTTCACCTCATCCCTCAGGGACAGGACTTTGGTGGCCACCTGTCTTTGGGACGCAAGTGGAATGCTTGCTGGAGATCTGGCCAGGAAAAGGGGACCCTGTTCCCTGGGAAAGAGAAACAGACTGAGGCCCAAAGTGGGGACAACTGGTGAGTTGCCAGGCGGGGTGGCCTGGGCTCTTCTTCAGGGGCACTTGGGAGCCAGGACAGCTCTGGAGTGGAAGCAGGTACAGGGGTAGCCCATCACTGCTGGGCCTGGGCTGCTGCATCTATATTGGGCGACTACGGGGAAGAACGTGTATCAGGGCCCAAGCTCTCTGCTGGACCCTGGGGGGAGACTGAACACCTCAAGCGTGAGGAGCTGCAGTCCCGGCAGCTGTGTGGGGAGTTGGGGTGAGGAGCAAGACTGAGGGGACATTGCCCAGGACACTGTGCCAGTGGGATATGGCCCCTTCATGGATTTGCATACATTAAACTCAGAGTAAAGCCCTCTACTTCCTAGCTAGGCAGTGGGGGTAAGGGGACAGAAGGAGGGGGAAGGACATCTTAGGACCTCGACGGCACTCTGCAGCCCAGCTTGTTCCTCCCAGTCCAGCTGTGACAAGGGTTGGACACAGTGCAGAGATAAGGTGGTCCGGGAGAGCCAGGGCCCCCCAGCAAGGACTGGCAACCCTGCAGCATCACCCACTAACACCCTGGCCCCACGGGCAGGCCAGCAGTGGGATCCTGAGGCCCCAAGAGTTCCTGCTGGCAAATGACCTCAGGGAGCTATAAACGGCGATGACTTCACCCAGGCGGGCGGGAGCGTGAGTCAGCCAGTGATCACAGGAAAGCCCGGCCCCCGTTACACATGCCTGGACACACACACTCGAACAAGAACCTGGGCACACACACATGTAACTGACCCGACAGGTACGTGTGTGAACCCCCAGCCTGGCACAAAGGCTGAGCACATTGATCTGCATGCTCTCCTGACAGCACCCCAAGTGTGCAGTGCCCACTGTCCCCACTGGCACACGCATGAGCACACACACCCCTGCATCTTCCACACACGTGTCCAGACCCTTATTTGATCTGCATGCTCTCCTGACAGCACCCCAAGTGTGCAGTGCCCACTGTCCCCACTGGCACATGCATGAGCACACACACCCCTGCATCTTCCACACACGTGTCCAGACCCTTATCCATACAGTGCCTCACATGCTCTTAATACACAGGGATAGGAACCACTGACCGCCCCATCACCCACCCAGGTGTCCACTATGGGGATCTGAGAGCTGGTGACAGACAGGGAAACTGAGGCCTAGGGAAATGAGAGGCCCATGTCTGTCCCATGTCTTGGGCCTCAGCAATATCTTCAGGGTGGGGCTGAGGGATGGTGGGTTGATGACCAGCACAGTCAACCCTTAACAGAGGGGGCTGGCTGGGGTAGCCAGATCCCTTTCTGGCCCCAATATCCTATTTCAAAGTGTCTCACGTTTACCTGCCAAGGACAGTCCACTGTCAGGAATCCATGGCCCTGCAGCCCCATAGAGCCTTGGCCTCAGACCTAACCTTGGGCTGTTCCCCTGTGCACGCCAGATATGAGCACCATCCAGGACACACTATTCCCAGCCCTCTCCTATTCCCTGTGTCCTGACAACTAGCACTTGTCACCCTTTCCCAGCCCTGGCCTCATCCTTGCCCCTCGTGCAGGGAACACACCCAGCCTCCTATCACCCACTTCCAGGGCCCAAATCCATCCCATGGCTCTCCCATTTGTGGTGCACCATGTCCTTGGCCCCTGAGCCTGGCCCAGAGAGGGGCTGCTTTCCAGGCCTGGGGCTTCCCATGAGCTTCCTTGGGCTGTTGAGAGGGGCCAGAGTGGCCAGTGAGGTGGACCCATCCACCCACCAAAGCCCTCAAGAGGGTCCCTGGAGGTACAGAGCTAAGCACAGAGTGAGGGCCCTAGGCCCCAGCACGCACCCAGGGCTCAGCCTCCTCACGTGGAGATAAAAAGAACACTGGGCACTGGGGCCCTGGGACACACTGGAGGGTGCCAGGCCCACCTTTGTGGCCAGGTGCAAGGAACGTGGGGAGCAGGAAATTGAGAGGTGGACTAACACAGAGAGGGACTGCCACCTGGGCACAGGCCCCCAACAGTCTCCAAAGTGGATGTGGGCATGGCAGAGGGAAGGGATAAAGGAAACAAGCCAGGTCTTAATTTGGAGGAAAGAGAGTCTCCAAAGTGGATGTGGGCATGGCAGAGGGAAGGGATAAAGGAAACAAGCCAGGTCTTAAGATCCCAGAGGCTGGACCAAGATCCCAGAGGCACTGCCTGGACTTTAAAGATGAAGAATGTTCATAAAGAACAGACCAGAGTGATGGGTGCCCCACCCTCTCCAAGGCACCCACTGGCACACACAAGGGATAGGTTAGGGTGAGGCAGAACACCTGGATCCCACAATCCCAGGGCTAGGTTCCCAGAGGGCACAAGAAGGCTGCCACCAGATGGATAAATGAATGGAAGGTTGGGGGAGTGACAGTTCCACACCCCCCAGCGTGGCCCTCCAGTATAGAGTCCAAGAGAAGTCAGAGTGGCATCTCCCGGCAGGCAGAAAGCCCTTTGATACTATAAATCTCCCTCTCCCTTGGTGCCCATGGCCTTGGCCCAGCCCTTGGGAACTAGGAGCTCACCCCTTCACAGCAGCAGTGCACCTGCCAGGTTGTGGCCCCAGGCAGAGTGACTGAAAGACCAAGGGGCAGCAAGTGCCTAGCAGGCTGGGGGAGCAAGTTTGAGGGGAGGGGGCAGCAGGGCTGGATGCCACCCACCCCAGCTATTCCAAACCCAGCCCCAGGCCATCAGCCACACTGTGACCATGAATACCCCTAATTGGCTCCTCCCTCTCTGGGGTGAGTGGCTAGACCTTCAGGGCCACTCTGGGGTTGCACAACCAGCAGGAACCTTAGCTGTCCAAGTAGGCAGGTATGTAGGAGCTGCCTCCCACCACAAGGTGTCTTGCGTGGTCTCTCCTCTGCTCAGCCTCAGTTTCTCCACCTGTTAGTGAACCCCGCCCCCTCTGAGCAGACTGCAGGATGCCCACCTGCCTTCCCCAATCCTCCACCCCAGTACTGGGAGGCAGAGGTTTTCCGTGAGACCCCTCCCACCACCACACAGGCGGGTGGTTGGCCTCCACCCCCTCCCCTCACGTGCCCTGCCGGGGCAGAGAGGGCTTCCATTAAAGCTCCGGAAGCTCCTTCGCAGTTCCCAGGGAGAGCCTGCACAGGGAATGGGGATGGGAGGAGAGGGGAGAAAAGGTGAGAGAGCTCCCCAGGGGGCAGGAGTCCTAGCCGAGCCCTTGCCAGACTTAGCCTCCCTCCTGCACAGAGAGGGGCTGCTCGGGAAGGCTCTGGTCCCCCAACCCGGTCCTCCCGCACCTGTCCTGGGAGATGGCCGGAGTATTCCCGCCCGGGTCCCGGCCCACTTCCCGCTGCACAGGGTCGCACTCCCTGGAACCCGCTGCGCCCGGGGACGGGCTCAGAGACCCGCGACCCTGCCCCGCACACGCCTTGCACACCCCGGGGCACCATGCTCATCCCGGTCGCCCGGCCGATGCAGCCGGCCGGGAATGCAGACAATAGCCTCCTAGGCCAGCAGCTCCGCGTAACAAAAGCGGGTCCTCCCGGGAAGGCCAGCGCCCCGCCCTCCACCTCCAGCCCCGGGTCGGACCCCCGCCACCCCCCACGCGGACCAAGTTCCCTCCAACCTGTCTGAGTTCGGCGGGCATCGGGCCGGGGCTCGGGGCGCACGGGCCGGCGGGGGTGCCGGCAGCAGCCA